AAAAAAAAAAAAAATTAAGGCAAGCCCAGGGGAAAGGTACAGGCGATCCCAAACTAGTAACATTCTTGGTTCTGTTCTCTCTCTGACCCAGTGCGGGTGCGCTGGAGCTGTGCTGTGCGGTGCGGAAGAGCCCTAGACTGCGACCCGAGTAATGGCAGACTCGAGGTTTACAGTGCTGGAGGTTGTAATAAAATGATTGTGTGCAGAAAGCAAAAAAAGTAACAAGAATGGGCCAGCAAGATAGCTCAGAGGTCTAAAGTGCCTGCCTAGGCAAGCTTAGGCAAGTATGCTGGGACAGTGGTTCCATATCCAGCACCACATGCCACACCATACCAGCCCTGCCCCCAGGGCGGGCTAAATCCACAAAAAAATAAATAAATACATACATAAATAAATAAGTAAAGAGAGAAGACTTCCCAGATCATGCGGCGGGAGCAGGACCCGGCCTGACTCCGACATCCATCACAGCCCCACGCAGCTGAGCTCACCTCAAACATCAGTCTGTCCCGCGCGCTCTGCTCTCGGGCCCACTCAGCCTCTCGCTTTTCCCACATCTCCTTGGCCTCTTCCCTGGGCAAACACAGACAGATGTCAGGCTCCTTAGCACACTGATGGCAGGCAGGGAACCAGAGAACCCGTGGTGCCAAGTGCCCGTTTGCTGGGGGCCAACCTCCTAGTAAACACGCCCCCAGCTACGGAGGGCACTCCTGGGTACGTTATCCAAAGCCTCTTCAGTTCCCTTTTCACACCTCATCCTCTTATGAAAGCCCACGTGCCAATGGGCACTGCAGCCCTTTAATACTGAGGCCATCAACGCAACCTGGAGAGGAGGGAAGAGAACACCTGTGCCTGGGCTCTGCCACCACACACCTGATGTCACTGCAGCTTAGACCTCTTCAGTCTCCTTGTCCCACATACTAACCACTTGGCTGGTCCCAAGCATGACTGTCTGGCTTTCAGCACAGTGTGTGGCTCAGTAAGGCTCAATGTACACTGCCTGCAGCAGGATTACTTCACACCTTTTTTTTTTTTTTTGCGGAACTGGGATTGAACTCAGGCCCTTGAACTTGCCAGGCAAGTGTTTATTCTACTGAGCCATCTCCCCAGCCCCAAGGATTACTTCAATCTACACGTTCACCTCTGAGGCCCCTGGCTGAGCACGGCAGCAGCAGAACTACTTGGGAGCCTGAGGCATGAGGACCGCATGAGCCCAGGAATTCAAGACTAGCTTGGGCAACACAGCAAGACCTTGTCTCAAAAATAATTTTTTTGAGCCGGGCATGGTGGCACTTGGGAGCCTGACGCAGGAGGATCATTGTGAGTTTGAGACCAGCCTGGGCTAAAAGTAAGCTCAATGGGCCAGGGAAGTGGCTCAGTAGAATAAGCGCTTGCCTGGCAAGCACAAGGGCCTGAGTTCAACCCCTGGTTCC